GAGAACAAAAATATTAAACAAACATGTTTTTGGTGTTTTTAAAATTTTAAGAACAAAAAATTGTTTTCGAGATGATAACCAAGCACGGCGCAAATTTTTACATATTTTTGGGTGTTTAATTGATTTCCAATACAGCTTTTTGGAGTAGTTGGGCCTGCTTAAAGTTTCTTTGTGTGCTGAAGCTGTTTTTGGAGTCATGGAAATCAATTTTACGCTCCCATAAATGAGTATTGAATTTTTTTTTGTTCAACGATTAATAGTGTTTGAAATAATTTACATATTAATTATTTCTCCGATCTGGTTAAAAGATGGTCTCACCCAGGGTTTGCCCATGAGATCTGTGATCAAGCACGTCAGCACTCTTCTTCCAACAAAGGGGAGAATATTTGGAACATTCTTTGGCCTAGGGTGCTGGAAAAGACTAGTTTTGCCGTAGCTTCGGCCTTTTCCCAGTGGACTTGTTCTCTCTCTCTCTCTCTCTCTCTCTCTAAAGGAGTTAGCCTCAATTTCCCCATAAGATAGACAAGTAGAAGAAAAGTAAACTTCATTAGTCAAACATGATCATTATGTTTAAGCATGCTTTATGCCCTTTTCAAATCATCTTTTAGCGGAATGCTACTTAACGTGATAACATCATTGCCTATATAAACCTTGACCAACCTTTTAATTTTTAAATATGTTTCTTCTTTCTTTCTTTTTTGTATACTCTTAATAAGTACTAATAGTGCTAAATACCGAGACGTATGAATAGATTGATGAATTGTTAGTTAAGTGTATGAACTTAAACTTAACACAAGTAAGAATGCATGAGTTTAGAGTAGTTCATTCCACTGAAGAAGGATAGTAATCAATTGTAACGGAGGCTTTTGTTTGTTGGTATGTATATTGTGTGAGAAAGAAGTGTTCTCTTGTTTAGGATGGTGTTTGGGCTTATTATTTATATACCGATAATCATTTCTTTTAGAACAGAAATGTTAGATAATATATTATCGTTAAAGACTTCTTCCTTAAAGTATGGTGTATCCTTTCAGAAGTTATAATGTGATCTTCCGGAAGTGACGACCTCCATAGGATTTGCAAGTAACAGTTCTCTTTTATCATATTTTGACAATTTGTTTATTAATGGTGGATTTGAAATTTGGGTTATTTAATATACACTAATGTACAACGCTGGGGACCAAGATCCCAGCAACCTATTATTTTTTTAAAAGCAATACTACATAAATTTAAAAAATAGATTTAAAAATTAGACTTAATAATTATAATAATTGATTTCACTGTGGGTCTTAGCATTTATTGAGACTCACTACCTATTCAACGGTTGAAATTATCAAATTTAATTTTTAAGTCCATCCAACATTTTTTTTTTATTGTATATCACTCACCATAAATTGATTGACAAGGTGTCAAAATATGACACAATTCGTTAACACGATACATAATTATTGTATTTGAATCTTCTTTAAGTCACCCATTTCGTAAACGGGCAGACTCGACTTAATACGATTAATAAATGAATCGAGTATGAAACAAATTAAAAAAAATACATGACACGATTCATTTATGTACCGGTTATACACAGTTCATATACGACAGAACCCTAACATGACACGACTTGTTAGATATAAATTAATAAATGAATCGGGTACAAATAAAATAATTTCAGTATGAATTCGTTAAGATCCGACACGAACTCATCTTATTCAGCACGATTAATAAGCATAATTTAAATACAGTGGATCCCACTATGGCTCATGATAGATATAATATGTCGTAAAAGAATTTGAGAAAATAAATGGAAAGAGATGCAACTCTATGAAAGAGGCCACTATTAGTGAGACAATAATACTTTGTCTTCTATCATCAAAATTTTGAACTTTTTTATAATTTTGATCAATTTTAAGTATTTATTCTTAAATCATCGGGTCTCACACTAACGACTTATTAGTGTGGGGTCCAATACATTTTCATCAGTAGAAAAATAAAACAAAACAAAAATTGTTTAAAACACGAGTCAAGGGTTATTAAGTAAAAAAAACATTGACAAACAAGTAGTAGAAAACAGATGAGAAAGCGTCTTCTTAACTTGTTTAGAACACGAGTCGAGTTCGAGTTGAATTTTATCTGAATCAAATTCAAGTAGCTCGTCTCGAAAAGATGACTAGAAAAGGAAATATCTCCTCTCACGTGTGACTCACGTGCAGTGTCACGGTTACTTTTGGTCATTAAAGCCCCCCATTATTATAAGAAGTTGAATTATTCGTGTTGTTAGCTTCTTTGATGAACAGTCGGTTTCTATTATGATCTACATGGGCCCACGTTTCACTAACAGGCAGATTCTTTATAATAATTAAGGACATGTTTTGCTTCTTTTAATAAAGGGTTAATTAATTTGCAAATCATTATCAGGGAGACAAATCAATTTCTCAACACATAACACTATTATACATACATATAGATACAATGACGGAGCCATGTTAGACCTATGGGCCATGCTCCCCTCAAGTTTCTAAAATTATGTTTTAGCCCTCTAACATTATATTTACCCACCTCAAGTTTTTAAAATAAGTTTTATATATCTAAAATGATATTTTGATTTCATTTTACATGGCCCTCTATAGTTTTGCAATTTGATCTTGAGTTTCTTTTATGCATTGACTATTAATTTGAATACATTTGTTCGACTTTTTTGTAATATGTAGATAAATGATGAAATTTAGTTATACTTAGTGATTATAAGATAAAAAAAAATTAGATTAAATTGTTGATTGTTTGATAAATTGATGTCAATTGTTTTACATCTAGTCTTGACAAGTTTGAATTATTTTTTTAATTTTATTCAAATAAATAATTATATAATGTATTGTGTAAGAGTTCATTTTAGTAAATTCTATATAATTAAAAATTTAACGTAATGATAGTTCATGGAATAATGATAACTCATTAAAAAGAAATTTTTTTGTTACGACCCTATTTGGCCCCCTCGAGAAATAATCCTGGTTCCGCCCCAGTATTAATATACATGTACATATAAGTATAAAATGGATTTAAAATTGAATTTTGATGTCCACATAGTTGATACTTTAACAATAGGATAAAATCATAGTTCTAAAAATGATTTCTAAAATATTCACCTATATTTGTTGGTTTACATATTTACGAGGCAACAATAATCTTACTTTATTTTGACTCGCACGTTTTGGGATTGAATCATGAAAATACCTTTTTCACTTCAAGAAGTAAAATTATGTATATTAGGCTTCTTCTTCTATTTTTTGTTATAGTGTGATTAATTTGTGTCGATTACTAGTTCAAACTTTATAAAATTTAAACATGTTCTTGGAAAAAGAAGAGTAGCAGGTCTTTAAAGGGTGTGAGAAGAGATTGAACATAAAACATCTAAGTTATTAAAGATCAAGCTTAATCACCAAACCACTTTTTTGTACGTCAAACATTATTCCTACCTCGTAAGTAACGCAAACTCGTGTAATGAGCTAAGACATTTTATAGAATGATAAATACTATGTAATTCAAATTTGTAACCTAAATTTTCATCTAAAATAAAGGGAGACTTTTGGATCAGTGGGTTCTATCAACTGTTTTAAATGAGACTCATTGATCTAATAATCCCCTTTCACTTGGGATACAAATTTAAACTACAAATTTAAATTACATAACATTGCTCTTATAGAGTATATACCATGGTACACTTGTGTGAACCAAAATGGAGAAACACTTAAATGGAAGATATTTTCTCCCAGCACCTATTATGACAAGATTAAATAATGGGCCATACACTTAACCTAGCAGTAGCAAAGTACAGCCAATTCCAGGACCATCCTTTTCCTAACACATTACAGGGTCATTGAGACAAATGTCCCCACAAGAGGCTCTTTGGGTCCAAAAAATGTTGACTCCGTCTTAATTGCTCAAAAATAATTGTCGGAGAATTCAAGAATAATCAAATAATAACAAAAATAAATTATAAATTCATACGTCATGAATTTAAATTTTAATAACTCATTCAGGTCACGTTATATGAAATTTATTTTACATGAATACTCTAATTTTAATGTAAATGACTATTTTTGATCGAATCAAAAAAAAATTAATCAAAATATACATAAGTTATCCGAATAACATTAACCGTTTAAAAAAAATAGGGTAATTGTCCGAGGTGAGTCTTGGTTGTTTACTTGGCTTTATATGATACTAATTTTTTTCCTTCCACCTTTCCTTTTCTTTACCAATTAATTTTCCTAGTTCCCTCTCACACACGCCTTAAACTTTTGTTCACTAGTGATAATGGACTTTCCACTTTAGATCATCGTTATAAATATCATATGTTCGATGATAATACAATCCAAATCATTGACAACAACATGAAATACAATGAGTGAGTTTCATTAATTTTTTTAATGAGACACATCCATTGAATACTTAACCAAAAGATGAAATATATTTATTTAAATTACAATTTTTTAATTTTATTTAAATTATTTTGTATTTTTCTAATATATCTTATGATCTAACAAAAAGTATAAACTTTGATAAAGTATAACCAAAAAAAGGGAAGATTTACGTGGATGGCCTGAAAAAATATTAGAAAATTACATTTTCACCCCCTAATCTCTTTAATATTTTCAGTCCCCCACGACAACACAGTCGCCTCTCCGCCAAGAAACAGGGGAAAAGTGCTTAAAAATTCATCGACACATACACCTACCAAATCCAATACAAAAATTTATATTCCATTCCCATTCTATTATCTCCTTCACTATTACTATTTTGTTCGTAATTTATACAGTGAATCACCGAACAAGATCGCAAAGAAAAGAACTCTCTCTCTCTCTCTCTCTCTCTCCTGAAAAGCTCTACACTTTTTTCTTTTTCTTTTTTCCCTTAAACTCTCTACATTTTCCACACGTTTGAAACTCTAATTGAACCCTAATTGAGTATCAGTTAGGGTTTTGGAGTTTGGGTTTCCAGAGTCGCATTTATGTCCCTATCAGACAGACTGGAGGCATGTGAAGAGGGAGAGTTTGAGAATGGTGGTGATGTAAAATGAGAATTCTGAGGAGTGTTTGTGAGTGCATTTGCAATGGATGTGGCCAAAGCTTGGAGATATAGTGGGGGAGTGTTTGTTTGGGGTTGTAATAATCTTAATCTGGCTTTGGTTCATCCGCAGAAGCAGCAGCATTCATGTTGGAGATGGTCGTCTTCGTCGCAGACGAGGCGACCGATCTCGTGGTCGGTGGTGTGTGGGATAATGCTGTTTGCTTTGGGTTTGATTTCTCTGTTCACCGGACATGTGGCTTCTGATCTCGAGTGGTACTCTCACCGATTAGTGAACAAGAGTTTGTTCCATAAACTGGTAATTTACTTTCTCTCTCTCTCGAATGTGATATCAACAGTTTGTGTGAAATTTTACTGTTTGACAATTCTTCTTTCTCTTTCTATGGTTTCTTCTCAACCAGAGTCCAATTGTTTCAAATTCTGTTGCTTTTCTTGGGTTGCCGAATTCTGCTTTGCCACTGCATGTTGTCAGCAATGCCTATATGCAGACACCCGAGTGTTGCATGCTGTTGTTTTTGATATCCAGTTACTCCTTAGGAACATGTATGTTGACAGAGAAAGCAGATCGGTTAAAGATCCATGTTTGTAACAAAGTTAGTTAGTGTGAGCAAAAGAGACAGTGGAGTGTACTTCTGGTGTCCTTAGCATATCCATATCCCATATCCAAAATAATTATTTCCCTCAATATTATATTGTGCTGTCAAAGGCATATAGGATTATGAAGTTCTTCTACTCCCTAGATAGACATGTTACTGCAAAGTTTGAGCCATCGCTTACCTTGTTTCATGGTTGAAAATGTTTCTTGGTGGTTAGAAATTATCAACAAAATCACTGCAGGTATTCAGATGTCCTCTTTGTGTTAATCTCCTTTATGGATTTCAAGGTAGGTCTTAACACTTCTAAATTGTACATACTTGCATACAGGCATACATAAGTACAAATTTATATGTACATTTGGATGCATGTTGGTTCTTGGTTGATGATTATTGGGAGAGGTCTTAATGTTCGTTTTCTTTCCATCTCTTTATGTCATTGTTACACTTACGTATAGATTGGTGCCTTGACATACAATGTTGCATAGAGTTTTAACTGTTAAGCTCATTGGTCTGAAATATTTAATTAGACGGACTGTATATAAGATGACTGTAATAAGACTGCAATTGACATATTACATAACACCATATGATCAAACGTCAAATTATTAGCTTTTCGTCAATATAGAATGCTGATTGGTTAAGAGGGCTTCTCATTGTAGGCACCTCTTGTGAACCGAGAGGGGTGGATAATGTGATTGTGTTTTGAAAGCATATGGATGTAATTGGTTCCTACTTCCTATAGGTTGATTTTACAGATTGTGGATCCATTGTGTGTATCATTATTAATTTTTCAAACAGAATTTGAAGATTCCTCGCAACTCTCGTCGAGCTTGAACCTACTCCTGATAAGCCATATACCTTGAACCTCCTTTTATTTTTTGGGTGGGTCCTTTTTGACATTATTTGCTTTCATATTGCTATGTGAAGTTATACGTGAATTAGAAAGTTCCGAACTGTGCTTTGCTTTATGATGTTAAATGCCATAGTCATGAAAATAGGTATAATGTTTGGGTTCCATTGTAGGATGGGGGTAGTCGTACACCAGTTGATGTTTGGAAATCACAACTTTCGAAGTTCTACTTTGGTTGCAGTGAAAGAAGTCGCCATTTTGCTCGTAAGTTGGATTATCTATTCCCATAGCTTCTTCAGATCCATGCATTCAAGATCCACCCTGATTAGCTTCCAACTTGGCTATATTGTTATTAAGTTATTCCTGCTTGTATTTTTCAATACCATTACCATGCGTTTGCTTTGGCTCTAAAATGTGTTGTATGATTGTAATAGTTGGGTACTATAACTTTCCACTTTTTCCAGTTGAAGGAGTTTGAAATTGTATGTTATATACTCTGGTAAAAAGTAAGATATATGACTTCTGTCGGTGGCCACTTTGTACCCACTACCATTTTGTGCCTGTGAGGAAATTTGCATGTGGATCATTCCATGCTGGCTTCGTTAAATTTTGCTGCTTGGCTTTGTTGAATAGGATTGCTACTTTCTTTTTCTGCTGTAGCTAAGAGACCAAGCTTCAATCTCGTCTTTCCATTTTTTCCTTTTATATCTTCTTTGTTTTCTTGCTTTGGTGTCACGTCATGTGGCTTCTGCACTCAGATGCAGTTTTCTGAGATTGTTATCTGAATTATGTGGTTCTAGGTTATTTCATTACTATGCACAATGCCTTTAGGCAGCATCTTAGGTTGCTGTCAGCCAGATAATGTTTGTTTATTCTGCCTCAAAGAACGGAGGAGCATGTCTGCTGAAAGAAAATGTTTTCCATAGTGGGTCATCACTCATCAGTAACATCATAAATAACTGATTGGAAATATCTTTTAAAATTTATATTTGTTTAATTGCTGAAATTCTTCCCCTAAAGAATATTTATCTAGTTTTTGTTGAACGAAGGTCATAGTTACCCATTAGAAGAAACAGATTATTGAAAACATACTCAGGTTTATTTGGGTATTGGTAAGGATTTCTTCCTGCCAGACATAAGTTTGAATTCGTCATTCCTATCTGAAAATGGAAATAATGGTTTAATTTATAGACTAGAAATGAAATGCTTATTGCTGATCATCTACATTGTCATCTATTGCCTCTATTTTCCTGTAGGTATTAATAGCTTTTTTTTAGGCTAAGAAACTCATTTTATTAAAAGATAAAACAAGGTCTTACATAATCCAAATGGGCAAAACGGTCATTTCAAATACTTGCAAAAACAGAAATACAAAACAAAACACTCATCACACCAATGAGCCTTTGTAACACACTAACAGCACAAGATGCTTTCCAACTCATTGTAATAGAAATTAGAGGAACATTCTCAAATTCTTTGTCAAAAGCCCAAAAAAAGATGCCAAGAAGTAAATCCGATCCCACATTCCTTCCACCATTTCTCTTTTGTTTTCGAAAATCATTGAATTTCTTTCCAACCAAATAACCCATAAAATGGCTAAGAAAGCACATTGTCAAAGAGTATGACCCCTCCCTCCTCCACCCAAATCTTTAAGTCCAAGCACAAGATGAAATACTTCTCAGGTGCAACTCAAAAAAGATGATCTAGTGGTGGTTTGAAGGATGTGCATAGCTTTGTCCAGTTAGTGGTTGTTATTTGTTAGGGCTTTGGGTCGTGTAGCTAATTTTTGCTTTTGTATGAACACTGGGAACTAGAAGTATGGGAGATTTTTTGAGAAAGGTCAGTAGTGGCTCCTGGTAGTATTATGGTACACAAACACAAACAATTGTCTTGTCAAAATATGTTTATATTAGTGATGAGTTATCCAACATTTCTTTTCCTGATCTCATTTTCTCCAAGGACTTATCCCTTCTCTTTTTTTTGCATTTTTTTTTTTATAAAAAAATTCTGCTTTTCGACTGAATTGGGGGAGATTTTGTTTGCCTTTATTTAATTTTATTATGGAGTTCTCTTGATATGTGATTGAGCTTCATTAAGGTCTCAAGCTTGTTTCATCAATAGAATTAGAGGTTGACAATTTCATGAGGAAGTTTTTTTGGCCAAGAAGAGGGGCAATTCCATTTTTTAGGGTTCACATTTTGTGCTAGTACACATTCTGACAAATGGGGCTTTCAATGCAATTAACCACCCTGTTGCTTGTATGAATGCTTAACAAGCCACTGAAGTGTAATTTTGATTTTAACATCTGGTGTAATGCCATCTCTCTCTTGAATATGCTGGACTTCTTCTGTTGCACTTTTTTAGTTTTACAAAAGTTGTCACAGCTTTATTGCTGAACGTCGAGCACTTCTCTAATTGTGCGCTTATTTTAGAATTATTGTGGTCAATAGACTCAATACTGCTTTTAATTCTGTTTTGGGTGCTATGAAGCAACTCTAGTGTTGCAATTTGAGTTGACTAGACTGTATTTATAGAAACACCAATTTCCTTACGTTTCACTCCATTTTACATTGCCCACAATCATTTGTTGGCCTTTTAGATGTCTACACATTCTTACATTGTTACTAGTGCCATTTGCCCTTCACTTTAAGGAAGTGTGTGCTCAGACCCTAACATGACTGATGATGATCTATATAGCTGCTGTACGTGAGCGATTGTCAAATGGTTATTTACTTATAGCGACAAGTGGAGGGCTGAACCAACAAAGAACAGGAGTAAGTGGAAATATTTCTTACCTAGTGCCACACATTGACTTAAATATAATCAGTTCAAGGATAACCATAGAATACTTTCCCCTTATGGGCGGTAATCTTTATTGCTTATCTCAATTTATTTCAATCTATTTCCTGTATTCAGATAACTGATGCTGTTGTTGTTGCACGGATTCTCAATGCTACATTAGTTGTACCTGAGTTGGATCATCATTCATTCTGGAAAGATGATAGGTAGGTTTAGATTTCATCAACTTACTTGCAGTTCTTCTCAGCTGTATGGACATTGAAGAAAAAGATTGAACTACCAGATGACCAATCTTCTGATAAGATACATTGTTTAACTTGCAGTGATTTTGTTGATGTATTCAATGTTGATTGGTTTATTTCTTCCCTTGCAAAAGATGTCACCATAGTTAGAAGGGTCCCGGATAAAGTCATGAGATCAATGGAAAAGCCTCCATATACCATGCGTGTGCCAAGGAAATCTGAACCTGAATATTATCTGGATCAAGTGCTGCCTATACTCTTGAGGAGACGTGTAAGATGTTTATCAAACTCTAATAAATTCGTCCATATTGAATTTGACATTGCATAATGCTATTATGCCTTTTATCTTAGTATTTCTTCCTTGGCTATATTCCGTACAATTTTTCTGAACTTTTGGAAAATTTAGAATTTTGGACTACTGCCTGCCAAATCCCAGTTCAATAAAGCTGTCGATTAACAGCTATATTGTCTTGTATGCAGTCACGCAAAATCCCTGATTAGCTTGGCTGTCATGCTACAATGTGAACGGTTTTTATTAGTTTTGTTCTCACAAATGACTATCCATAGATTTGCAGGTTGTTCAGTTGACAAAATTCGATTACAGGCTTGCTAATAACCTTGATGAAGGGCTACAAAAGTTACGTTGCCGAGTCAATTATCATGCTTTAAGATTTACAAAACCGATACGGAATCTTGGTCAGAGACTTGTCATCCGAATGCAGAAGATGGCAAAACGTTTCATTGCTGTTCACTTGAGGTTTGTCACTTGTAATATGCTGATAATTATCCTGGTGTTTGCATAATGTTCACCTTGCAAGTAAGCAAATCAGTCTCATTAAATTAAATTGTACCAAACAAAACCCACCCGATATTTGTCCTTCTGTTGGACATTCTGGGTCATGACTTTTCCATGGTTAGACAATGTTGTCATCTTCTTGGCCCAAGTCAGATGGTTTCATGATATGTCAATGACATTCAAATGTTGCTCAACACTCAAATATTACCCTTGATTTACTCATTTGAAAATGTCGTGTGTTATATTCTGGTTTGTTTACTTATTATTATTTTGTGAAAGTGGCTGTTGGCAATGATTTTCCCGGAAAGTAAGTTGTTTTGTGAGTAAAATAACATTGTCATTGACCATTCCTTCCCTTTTCCCTTATATTGGGTCCAATTTTGCTACTAGCTAATGCATCACATTGCATGGTTGGTTAATTTGTGACATGGGCATTCCAATAACTTTTAAATGCCTTTTTGGAACTAAAATTTTGTCCTCTTTGATTTTGAAATCTGGATATTGCTATAATTACTGGCAAACCAGTCAATTATATACATATGTATACACACACAAGTACTGAAGTACATACACACACATCCATATATGCCATATTTTTAGACTTAATAGTTAATTTGCTTTGAGATCCTTGGTAACAAGTTTAAGCAGTTACTCAGAAGTGTGTGCTTCCTTTTCTGTTCATACCTTGGACTTCAATATATTGGGAAGGTTATTACCCTTTCACAAATGTATGTGAAAACTCTGACAGATCTGTGTGCTTGTTTGTTACTTTACAAGTCTCTGGGTGATATTCCAAGAGATGTTGCTCATTCGTCATTTCATTGAGTGATTTATCTATATTAAGTTGGCTTTTTTCACAGGGGATTAGGGATTTATAATGCATCGTTATTGTTAGAGTGAGTTAAGATGATAAGATTTATCAAGTTTTGTCAAAGAGATGAGATCTATCAAGATCTGAAATCAGATTAGATGAGGATTGATGATTTATCTTATGTGCGTCGATTGTGTTTACTTATTCTATAAATAAGGTTGAGTCCTATGTAATCAATCACCGATTGAAAAGTACATCGATGTAGTCAATTGGGTGTTTGGTCTGTGGATGTAAGCACAATGTGTCAAACCACGTGTATCCTTTGTGTTCCCTTTTTCATTCCCTATCTCTTATTGTGAATTTCTACATGGTATTAGAGCAGTAGATCCTTCTTTTTTTCCCCACCGAGTTGTGCTTAATCACTGTTGAGAACCTTGCTACCCATTGGACTTCAATCAAATCTAATCCTAACGACACCTTGGTTGATGATTTAACTATCCTTTCTTTTAAGCCGTGCGCTACCAGTGCCACTAATTCACCACTCGAAGAATAAGACAGCTTCTTTTTTACTGAAACACCACTGTGGTAGTTCTATCACTTTGCCACATCAAGCATCAAAGCATCTTGAATGGCAATTTACGATTCATTTGTGTTCTCAAGTTGCAGTATATGAGAATTTCTTGGCTTTTACACTTACATTTTTTTTGGGAAGATATTGTCTATTGTGGTTTCTGTCGGCTGTTTGGCCTCGGTGAGAGTGGTGGGAATCCAAAAAAAAAAAAAGAGGAGTTATGAAAATATTTTTTGAGGGAGGGAGTCAGATCAAAGAAGAAAAGGAGAGCATAAAAAAAGGCCAAGGAAAAGTCTTGGGAAAAAAGATTGGAGAGAGGGACAGAGGATCTTGAGAAGAGAGGTACAAAAAACAAAAAAAATGTCACAAAAAAATTCTTATGATGCATGATGCATTTTTCAATGCACACGTCTTTCGCACCTTGTTTTTGAGGGGGAGTTTTTATTATTGCTCACGTCTGATGGAGAGCATCAGCACTTGCACAATAAGTCACTTTGTACTTATATCTCACTCCAAGGTGTTCTTCAGAGGGAGTTTTCTCAGCAAAGTCTCGTCATTGGAAGCTTTGGCAAAGGCATATTTTCAGCAATAGGTCCGATTACTACACTGATGTATTCGCGACAAGAACTTCATTGCAAACAAAGTGAAGTATAACTTCAACAATCCGGCAGTTCAGACACTACATCTTTCAGTTCAAGTTAGACACTTCAACACACAGTAGACCAACTTGAGGGAGAGTGTTAGAGATATGAGATAAGATGATAAGATTTATCAAGATTTGTCAAAGAGATGAGATATATACATGATAAGATATCTTGTGTTTCTTGAATTTATTTACTTACTAAGAGTTGAGCCTATGTAATCAACCACCACCGATTGAATAATACATCAATGTAGCCCATTGGGCGTTTGGTTCGTGGATGTAGACACAATAGGCTGAACCATGTATATCTTGTGTTCCAGTTTTCATTCTCTATCTTCTATCTCTTTTATTACGAATTTCTTCAATTATATATGAATCATACCTGGACACCACACCCAAGCATCGCCACATTGACACATCAACATTTGTCTTTTCATTATGTTTGGTTCATTACATACATAACTCCCCCCTTTTCACCTTGGTGCACACCACCTTTGGTCTTACACTGACTATATGACAGGTTTGAACCTGATATGCTAGCATTTTCTGGGTGTTACTATGGTGGAGGTGACAGAGAGAGATATGAACTCGGTGAGATAAGGAAACGATGGGCGACATTACCTGTGAGAATACATTCCTCAATCATCCCTAATTCTGTGTTAATGATTTTTCTTCTTGGTCTCTTACATTCTCAAAGCAGTCATTTAGATCAAGTAAAATGTGCCATGTCTGACCTGGAGAAGTTAACAATGCAGTCTGGAGTTATTTCAAATGTGTTATCTCAAACTATTTCACATATTGAATAATCTATTTGTACCATTAGGTGGAGTTTTTTGGGAGATTTCTTTTCCCGTTTTGTCCATAACAAACTTTTGTAATTTGGCTCTGGCACAGGAGTTAAGCCCGGATGAAGAAAGAATGCGAGGAAAATGCCCGCTTACACCTCATGAAGTGGGTTTGATGCTGCGAGCACTTGGCTTCAAAAATGACACTTACCTTTATGTTGCATCTGGTGAAATATACGGCGGAGAAGAGACTCTGCAACCTCTCAGAGAGCTTTTTCCAAACTTTTACACTAAGGAGATGCTTGCCAGTGGAGAATTGAAACCTTTTCTTCCCTTCTCTTCTCGTCTTGCTGCCATTGATTACATTGTTTGTGATGAGAGTGATGTCTTTGTCACTAATAACAATGGAAACATGGCAAAGATCCTTGCTGGTCGAAGGTAAGAGTTCACAGCTGTTTGTAATGTGCTGCTTTTATAGGTCATTATTTGAATTGAGGAATAAGAAAAAAAAAAGTTCCCAAGTTGACGGATTGAGAATGCCAAGGCCTACAGACAAAAGGAAGAAGATATGGCCAATAAGCATCAGTATCAAAAACACAGTGGAACTTGACCAAATGCACCAGCTTCTATCTAGTACAAAATATTTAGGAAAATTTTACTTCCATTTACTTGTAGGGTTCATTTTATGTAACATTGATGGAATGGACCACTTAGATTTAGCTTAGTTCAATATTTTGGTGCTCCGGCTCTCTTGCATGAGAAAGCATATTAGGGTCTGACAGTGCCACTTTATGAGAATATGCCAAATGGTTGTACAATCTACTCTTAACACCTTCGTAAGTTGGAGTATCCTGCATAAGCAGGACCAGTCTAGGTAACATCTATACCATTTGGGCTTTGGCGTTATTTACATGGGTTAAGCCTCTAAAAGAGGACGACAGTTTGAGTACTTGAGAATTCACAAAAAACTAAACAGGCTTGTGCATTAGTAGTGGCCTCTTGAACAATGATGGATTGTAGACGCAGGGATACAGTAGGGTAGGTATTTCTTGGGGGCTTATGCTACTAGAAAAAATTCCAGTAAGAGTCTCCAACAGAGATGGTATTTAGAAAGCAAAAAACATAGAGATTATTATTGAAATGCTAGTCAAGTAGTCATATTGCAAGCTAAGGCCATGGAAGAGTTAAATATTCAGGTAGGGATACAATTTATGTCAATGTAGCCTTGATAGATGCATTTGTTAAAGATGTTGTACCCAAAAAGTATTTAGTTGATAGTCAATTAAATGCATTAGCCTCTGATAAGCTCGACAAACTATTGGGGAGAAAATGCGACTTTTCACATCCTCGTTTCCATGACGAGGGAGTGGCTGTTTCAGTAAGAAACATGAAAATGTGCTGAAGCTGGATCACTGAATATCTTTGTTTGCTGAACTACCCTAAATTTTCCGCATTTCAAGTGGTAGGATTATGAAGCATAAACCTCAATTTTCTTTACTGATTCTTGTGAATTAAGCCAGAAAAGCATTCTTTTAGAATTTGTTTTGTTTGCAGTGTGGCGTCATCATTGTTATCGCATCATCTTCAATCACTATTGTTATTTCCGGTTTTTGTTCATATCCTGTCACTTATCTCTTCTTTTCATGGTAAAGGAGGTACATGGGGCATAAAAGGACCATCAGACCAAATGCGAAAAAGCTTAGTTCTTTGTTCATGGCAAGAGATAAGATGGGCTGGGATACATTTGCTAAAAAGGTAAAATCATGCCAAAGAGGATTCATGGGAGAACCAGAAGAGACAAAAGCAGGACGGGGCGAGTTTAGTGAATATCCAGCTTCTTGCATCTGCCGTAAACCATTTAAGTACTCTTCTATGGAGAACAATCACGACAATGATCAGAACTCAGACAGAGTTCCCATTGTCTCACAGGCAAACTCGGGATATAAACACAACAGCGATGATCAAGGTGAGAAGAAGTTGCAGAGTCCAGAAAAAACAAGAGCTGGAGAAGAACCAGTAGCTATAGTAGAAAACACTGACAACGATGATTTTTTGTCCGACTAGGTAAAAGGAAACCCAGAAATAGGCCGTCTTGATTTGCTTCTTATGCTTATCCGAGTCATGTTGACTCTGCTGTTTTATCTCCAAGTGTGCTACCTTCAATCGTGCCAATTTTACTCAGCATGTGATTAGGTAGGGACGAGCCTTTTTACTCAGCGAGACACTAGGTAGGGGAGGTGGCATCTAGCTTGTGCTTTAGATATGTATGTTTGGGTTACTTGATGATGGACTAATCTGGTGTATAGCAAATTTGTAACTTCTGATGAACTGCTGTTGGTATATATTTTTGAAGAAAATGTAGTGAGTATGCATGCAAAAGTATGCTGCTTTTAGTTGAATTCTATGCCGTACTTGTATCCTTAATGGCATTCTGCACTTGCTTCCCAGGCTTATTGGCACGTCCAAATTGTCATGTTTGGCCATGAAAGTGCAAGTTGTGTGGCTAACCAATTAGTCAAGGTTCTTCCATTATTCATTGTGGCAAGGTTCTTTCATTATGATCTTTACGTGAGTTTGAATCCCAAAAAAATTTCTCTTGATGTCTAGTAAGTCTCTATACTACAAGGGGTGTATATGGTTCGAGTTGGCCCATGGACCCTTACCCCGCCAAAAAATAGCCTTAATAGATTTGTTAGTTGCCCCAGTCGAACCTGATCTTAAGCCCATTACTGAGCTTAAGTCTATTACTTGGCCTAAAATCTGGGCCATTAGCTCACCCAAAAAAATTAATTAAAACTCGGCCCAAGAACTTACCCGGTCAGTTAGTCCACTTGCCCGTCCACTTTGTTTGAGAAAAAAAAAAACTACAATTGGAAGTTTTGTAACATATTCTTCTAAAAAAAGTTATTTACTTAAATACCAAGCTGAGTAATCTAGGATATTATTCATTACTTACTTGAATACTAAATAATTCATCTCAAATAAAATTATTAATTATTTACTTTGTGTCCATTTGACTCTACTTTTAATTTTATATACTTTACAAAAATATTAAGTTGAAAACTTTTAAATGAAGATGTATATAATTTTTTTTAAAAAAAAGGCTGATCTGCAAGGCAAGGCCCATTCAGTGAGTGACAAATTAGATTATAGGTAACTTTCTCTTACCCGAAACCAGATCCAGTGCATCTGATAACTCACCGAATAAGGACTTAGACCCATCTTGAATCAGCCCATGGACACCCCCATCTATACATTTTTTTCAAACCTCTCATATAATTGGAGACATCAATAATTGTGAAACCTCAAATATCGAGCTAACGTGATACAATGGGATGTAAGCTACTTAAAGTTCAACTCGAAGTTGTTAAGGGTCAGAAATCCAAAGCCCCCCAAAAGAATCTGATGACATTGAAGCGTAACACCAGACTGAGTGACCAACAAGTGACCACTATCCACACCTAAGGGTAAGGGGATGGGTGCAGCTGGTGCAGCCAGGGAGCACGAACTCAGGTGGGGCTCAAGGAAGGCAGCAGGCAGCAGCCTAATATGCAAGCTTCTCTTTGTCCACCACATCTTGCCTTTGGCAAGGGTTGAACTCAAACTCCCATGTGGGAGTTCTCAGTTGGCTCCATTGTAGCAACTTCAATGACAACAAAATCATCTTCCTGAATGCTGCTGGTGCTCTTAGTAAAATTATTAATAGAAACTACAAAATGTTCATGATTGATCATCTGCAAAACCATTGTGCACTTCTAATCCAACAACTACATGGGGAATTTCCATATACAACCTATTTGTAAGGAAACTAGAATCAATATCCACATCTACCAACTATATTTCACAGCCGAAGCCTGAAGCACCAAGAACCCATAATTCCCATTCCTAATTCTCTCCCACTATAAATATACACAAACATTGGTTGGGTGTCTGTCGGGGAAAACATCGTTCATGAAAGCTCTGCTCAGCCTTGGCCATTCCCTATTACAAAATCAAGCATAACTAATGTCAGCTGCAGCTGAAAAGCCAGAGAAGAATGTGTGCATCGCATAAAAATGTCTCTTACCAATTTTAAATATTTAACATTCAGTCATTTACCTTTAGAAGTGCCTCTGAGACTTCTGTCATGTGATGCAGGAAACTTCGAGATGATCAGTGAGCTCTGCAATCCTTCTAATAGCTGTGGGCAACAAAATCACTAAGCAGTCAGAACTAGAATCTTCTACAGGAAAAACAGGTATGATCATTGTCACAGTGAAATGACATCCATTGTCCTTCACCACCAAAATGGTGACTCTACTCATGAACACCGAAGTCTGTCAAGGAAGTCAAAGACAAACTCACATGCGCTCGATCATGGCACAAGCTGAGCCATTCACTGGCCTGCCCTGGTGGGCTGGGGCTGGGGCTGGGACAGGGATAGAACTAAAAAGTGGCGAGCTGTTGGCTTGAGAATAAAGGTATATTATCCCTAACTGAAAAAAAGTCTTTGTTATCTTGACACATTGACACTGTTATGAAGCAATTAAGGGACGTCCACTAATTCATAATGCACTAGGAATCTTCTCTTGGTTGCAAGGGCATAAGCTCCACTTTTCACATGTTTTCTTCTGAAGAAGATAGACAGCACAAGCCAACGACAACCAACGGATCATAGGGAGAAAGTGAATGAATGAAAATGAACCACAGTGGAGATCTTGAAAGTGGAATAAAGATCATACATCACTGGAGTATCACATACATGTGTGTGGAAGTAAGAAATTTGAAGATGAACATTCGAGGGACCAAGAACTACAATAGGCGAATTACATACTACCCTTGTATGAATTGTTTATATTCTGGAAAAAAAGAAGAAAAAGTGGCTACAGTGTAAGCTAACAAAAGCATGTAAAATAAGTTCTCCATCGAGTGTAAAATATATTACTCAATCCTTCTCAGAGGTTTAATCTTGTAGAACAAGTGGTTCTTTACAAGGACCTCAGAGCTAGAAGATCATAGGCAAAAGATTGTGTTCTCCATAGTTTTAACCCATGCAACTTGGCCTGTTAATGAGAAGCCACATGCGAGGAAGGTGAAGAAATATGATATTGCAGTCCTTTTCAAACACTTGAGCTTCGAGAGTCCTTGATAACTACTTTAATAGGCTGGTTAGTAGGTGGAAAATAGAGTGGAAGGAAAAGAAAGGATTGAAAGAATAGAGAGGAAAATGAGAAGGAAAGCTTATGACTTCCGCCCACCAAAAATTTTTCCTCCGGTTTTGGGTGGAAAGGAAGAGCTACCAGACTTCAAACATTGATTTTACCCATATGTAATTGCTGTAATAATTAACACTATAGATCACACAAGTGAAGCATGCAAACTAAATACTTTTCTGACCAACAATAATGATCACCTGCTTTAGGTATTTCATATGCACACATACCAAAAAAAGGAAGGGACATAGATTCAAAGTTAAAGCCAAGACAAAATAGACGTTTAGGCATACAAACTTTTTCTTTCCTTCAATTTTCTTTTAATATCAAACAACAGAAAATTTATCCTTCCACTTTTCCATCCATCCTACAAACAAAATAAGGGAAATAACATTTCTTTCCTCTGAGGATGAAACATCTATTCTTTTTTTTTCCTTTCATTTTTCCATTACTCCTACCAAACGGTCCATAAGGTACTGGACCTAGAGCAAGGGAAGGAGGACACGAAGCCATTGATGTAAAACAACTAAATGCCATTGGTGACAAACAAATATGTAAACATTAGATGAAAATGAAATCTTGAAAACATGGAAAGGACTATCCATGTGTTCTTATGAGAAATGATAGCTCATATTTGGTTCATTTTCATTTTTGAGAAGGTATCACTCTCATTAGGCTTCTTAAAAACTCCCTATACAATGATCACACACAAATCAGAGCTTGAAACTTGGAATGGAGCATATATTGATGCATGATGTTAATTCAATATGGCTTCACACCAGGAAAATCAGAAACTGAACTCAGACCCTTCAAAGGATGTATCATGAGCTATTATGGCGTAAATAACAGTAGTCTATGTACAAGCGTCTTTATTATTAACCTATTGTCTGGGTGCGTCATAACCATATATGTAAAAGTCCAATGATCACTTCAGGCTCCTATTTGTCAGTTATGATACTTTATCATGATTAGAAAGAAACATAAGGCATTTTATCATGTGTCAAGGAGAAATTTATTGACGTGCCATGACAGAGAGAAGGGAGAAGTGAGACACTCTAGAACAGGTTCTGAAAAGTGGACAGAAACATAATAATCATGTCACAGAAACTGAGTCAAGCAAAAAAATACTTTTTTTTTTATAAGAAACAAAGCTGAGCAAAAAAATACAGAAACCAACATCATGCACAACAAATGGACTCAAAAATACTGTTAACTAATAAAGGTTCAAGATATCAAAGGGCGTACCCTTGAAGTTGGCTGAATTCTGCGATTAGATCTACGGGGTTCAGCAGCTTCAGCACTTGATTTTCCCTTCATTTCAACTTTACCAGACTTGCCACCAGCAGGTGCAAATTTTCCTCTGTTCTGCCATTCAGATTTGGCTTTTGAAGTGGGCACTTTTTTAGGTTGAGCATCTGCTGAAAGAGCTAGCGAAGAAAATAAAATTGGGCCCTCTGTTGCCTCCTTAGTGCTAGAAAAAGATCCAAATTCCCTTAACTTCTGCTGGCCTAAGTCATTTTCCTCCTTGCTAATAGCAGCTTTGACTATAGCACCAGTTAGGGTAGTGTCTTTTGGAGCCAATACTTGGGTGGCCAAGAAGTTATCCTTCTGAGGTAATGTTCTGCCTGAAACACTTGGTGGTTTTCCAGCCTTAAGACTTTTGGGTCCGGCCTCGGCTGGTTGTTTTTCTTTAGCACCAATTTTAGAATTATTTTTCCATCCACGGGATCCTGGTCCTTGCGGCATAAGATAGTTCGCAATTTTAACAGAATCCTTTGCTAAATTATCCTTACTGCTCCTGTCTGAAACATAGTGTTTGCTTACTTCCATAAATTTCCTCTTCTTTCCAGGTTTAGGAACACCAAAAATTACTCTTGATCCTTCTTTCTGCAGCCCACTCCTCATTGTTCTAAGTGCACCCAGCTTATTCCCATCTCTAGGACTCTTACCATCATTGAATAATCTTTCATTGGCAGCCAATGGAAATAATCTAGGCTCCTCATGTTTTTCTGATTCCACAAGATCAGTATTTTTTAACGTCTTATCCGCCGCTTTGCCTTCTATAACAGAACTTCCCAGCTTCAGCCTCTTTTCATTAGGTGTATCTCCCTGAAAACCAGATTTAGAATTCAGTACAAATAAGCTGGCCAACATAAACATTTCTATCAAACAATTTAGGGAAAGAAAACAGATGTAAATACAGAACCTGGACAGAACAGTCCTCTCTTAAAACAGACCATTCAATCCACTCCCCACCCTTCCATATTAGAGTCGGCCGGAGATGCCACACTCTAACAATTGATGTTTCTCCTTCAGCTGCAAAAACAACCAAAGAAAAATCATTTTTTTTCCTAACCTACAAATATAAGGAACCAGTGCATTAGAACACAATAGTAGCGTGTCCTCATATTCAATATGATTGACCGCAGATACCTGAATAATGGACAGTTAATGTAGTTTCATCTTTCTTATTCTTCTCTGTGACCACTCCTTCACGCCAGCTGAACAAAACATTAAAGCAATGGAGATGAGATACAGAAAAGACACAATTCGGTTGGATAGCAACAGCCTATGAATTAAGACCAGGTATGCTAAGATGCACTGGGTTGAAAATGCATCTAGCTACAGGGGGGCAGTTGGGGTAGGATTCTAATTCAAATCGAGGGAAAATTCATTTCATACTAAAGAAATATCTTATACAAGAAAAACATAGGCATCCCAACTCCAATTTAATGACCGAAAGACCGTAGGATTGCAGAATAACGGTAAAACCAGGCATCCATCAAAGACATAGGTAAGTATCCAATCAGAGAACAACCTTTGCGTGGTTGTAAGTCATGCCAGAAACTACACACGAATTTCACAAGTTCCAAAAGCAAATACAACAGAAGGTGAAAAAATTATTTACAACTCTTCAACTCGCTCAGTAATATCGAGATCCACAACATTTTGATTAAGTTCAGAAATATCTTGTGGCTTATACTATATTACTGATATAACCTGTGGGGAAAATTCTCTTGCAATGCACCAAAACAGGACAAAAGCACGTTGTATATGATTTGTTCATTTATCTTCTTTTTGGAAGTATATTTGTTCATTTAACTGCAACTTCGTTCTTATCCTTTTCAGAAGGTAACTTTCATATTATCTTTTTTTTTTTTTTCCGGGGGGGGGGGGGAGTGAGAGGATTTAGACAACATCCGTTATTAGGTCAATTACCCAGGTCCAGGGGTTTATGATGTCATGGGCTCCTACACACAGGGCTGGACTAGGAGTATGTTTTTGGGAGGAAGTTAGTCATGTCCAGTGGGATCAGGAGATGACCTGTGGCGGATAGAATAGGTTATATCTACTACCTAATATAAAAGGAAACAAGCTTATCCCTGATGCCTAAATCTAAAAGTTGCTAGATTTGCTGGTAGTCTGTCTTCATGCCTTCTGCCACATGCTATTAACGATCATTAAAACGCAAGGTAACCACAGAAACGGTTAATAGGGATACACAAAAACGTAAGATGACCCACTTAAAAGGGCTGCTCATCAAGCAAATATGCAAAAGGAAGATACTAGTGCTCACCAATCTTGCATGAACACATCGACTCTATCCCCGACAGACCAATGATGATCCCTAATAACTGCTCTACGCCTCTTCCTCGTCCTTTCCACTGGAATATTAGTCATAGGATGGGGAACACGTATTCGTGGTGATTTTTTGGCATCACCTTCAAGTGGTACCCATTCTGTTAGCTGCTCTGAACCTGAACAGGTGTGCAGATTGAAGTCAGAGACTCAGAACAATACTTATGCACATACACACACAAGAAAACAGAAAGAAAACTTCACTAACAATAATGGATGCCATAAAGGCATCATTCATGATACGAATGGCCACGTAAATCCTAGTCAAGTTCCTTTTAGGATCAAATTGAGAAATAAAACAAAGCCTAAGCAACCACGTACTATAATTATGGCTGATAATGAGCCGAACTTTGCGAGCAGTCAAGCTCGTTTTTTCTAAATGAGCCTAAAAAATTATTCAAGCTTGACTCGTTTAGAAAATAAGCTGAACCCGAGTAACTCGACTATTTTATATATAAACAAGCCAAGTCTTTTAGATTCAATTTTCTAAACAAGCCTAAAAAATTGTTCAAGCTCGTCTCGTTTAGAAAACAAGTCGAGGCTGAATCAAGCCCAAAACGAGTTGAACCTGAATCGAGCCTGAGTAGCTTGACTCGATTATCAACCCTAACTATAATGATGGTGAGTATGGTATGCGAGATACCACAAGTGATTGACCACAAAGGAACACATGGAAAATTGCTGTTTTGATATGTATTAAGGAACTTTACGTTTCCCAATAACTTAGGAATGGACATGAAAGAAGTGATACAGGTTTGCGACTTTGTGTAAATGTTTAGGGTATGACTAAACCATTAAGAAACCATTGTGATCATGCATCACAGCCATATAGGGCATAATGCATATGCCAACATACAGTTTGTTTTCTAATAATAGGATTACACAAGGTAGTAGCAAATGCATTCAATCAGTTTTCTATGATTAACACAACAGGAAGACCATGGAAGCTTGCCTTCAACTAATTGGAGTTGGCTATAACAGACAAATGCTTTTCGATCCTTCAAACTCAGAACATTGGCTGGGAACCAGGCTGCTTTGCAATCACCCCCATCTTTGAAAACCTACAACATAACATGAACAGATAGCTAAAAGGCAAAAATTCAAGCAAAAGTTTAAAATAGGGCAACAGGCCAAAGGTCAGGGAGAAATAGAAAGACAGTGAACACAATATAAATTCCACTATTGCAAGTGAGACTACTCAAAATGAGTGAAGTGTCTAATTACTATCAGTATACAAACCTCAACAAGGCAACCCTCCTTGATGCTGTTATCTTTCAATGTTCCAGCAACATTTTCAACTTCATCCTGAACAGTGACAGAAGTAGACCCAGCGACTCTATCTGATTCGGGAACTACCCCAATTGTCTTGGCCAAGTCAGATGCTCTATGTACCCTTTGCCCTCTCGAATCCTCTTGAATGCAAGTCACACACCCCGAGATGCCATCTACCATCCTCACATGGTCTTCCATCAAATCCCTGGAAACCTCTCTTGGACGAGGTGGCAGACCATGGTTTGGAGTCTGCATCTCCTGATTCGGTGGTCCCTCCTTGGATTGTCTAGCAGAAACACTAGGAGACTCTTCAACAGTATTTGCATTCTCTAGATCTCCATTTGCATTGTTTGATTTCACACCCCATTCGGAAGATAACTGAGGAACCTTCCAATAGCCCTCCAGACCAGCTTCTACTAACTGCCTCAAAGGCAAGGGGTCGCCCATAGCAACAATCATTCCTGCTTGTGATACAGCTGTTGCTGCAAGTTCAGTAGCTTTTTTTACCGCATCAACATTTTCCGCATGTCTTGAGGCAGTTGAAGCAGATTCAACCCTCCTCTTACCTGCTTCCCTTGCGGCAACAATGATCGAACTGGAAGAGTTGCTTCCATCCCCACCCATCAAAATGGATACAGGAGTAGGTTTCCCCAAATTTGTTGTTACATCAGGATGAGATATTGAATTACTCTCAGGCGCATTGCCAGTTCCAATAGACCAATGCTTCATCAGCCATTAGTTTTGCTTGTATTGCAGCATTTGATGCAATCTTGGCAGCTGCAGCTGCAGCCTTTGCTACAGAAGCAGCAGCAGCTATTGCAACAGCTGCCGAAGCTAACTTAGCTTCGACATCTGAACTCAATCCAGAATTCTTCTGCTTAACTAACTGACTCCATACACCTTCGCACTGGCTAACTGCAGCAGCAGCATGAGCAACAGCATCCTCTGCTTGTACCTTTGCATCCTCAACATTAGTAAATGGTTCCTGTGTAATTATAACCCCATTCTCCGCATTCTGATCCCCTATCTGTGGATGATAAGCAGAAGCTGCGGGAGATACAGCTGTAAGAGATTTAGCAGAACTGCTTTTAGACACAAAGCACGAAGGGGCTGTGACTGCAACTGCGGTAGAAAAATGACCAGTAACAAAAGGAGCACAAAATGATTTTGTCCAACCTTGAGCAGGCAAAGAGATCTGGCCAATATCTCCACCAACAGGAACCTTTATTGGCAAATGACTACCAACAACAGGGGTAGACATTGACTCTGACTGAGTTTTAGCAAGCAAAGAGACCTGATCAAGATCCTCAGAAACAGAAACCTTTTTCCTCTTTCTGGTTTTTGGATCGGCAGAATGCTTGCCAGGTGATGCTGTCACCTTCTTCACATCTAGTGGAGAAGAAGTCCCGGCTAGAACACTAGGACTCCCACTATGAGCCACAGGAATAGGTTGGTTTATGCCAGAGGAAATAGGTACAGATGATTCCTTAACAGAGGTTAATTTGACAGTTTCTGTAGAAGGCAACACAGAAAAATGAGCACTGAAATCAAAGCCAGAAGGTTGTGGAGAACCAACCCAAGGACCAGCAAATGGGGCCTGAGATAACCAAGAGTTGCTATGTCCAGAAGAATTTCGAATAGGTGCAGTCTGAAAAGGAAGCAAATGAGACAAAGCCTGATGGTAATCAAAAAGTGCGCCTCGAGGCATACCACTGGATTGCAAACCATCACAAGAAGGGGTAGACATATTCCAAAGAGGCGACGAAAGGGGTATAATGGGATTGACAACAGGGGAAGGAGTGCCCTTAATGCTAGCTCGGCCAAAAGATGAGGAAAGAGATTTATTTTGAAGTGAACTTTGTTTAGTTGGTTGATCAGGAACTCTAGCACCTGCATTTCCCGACTCTAAATGCAGTTAGTCAATAGTCAAACCTAATAACAAATGGACCCCTTAGGATTCCAAGATACCTGAATGTGATTGCACAGGGGTTGCAGAATTGTTGGTACGGGATTTCTGACCATGGACTCTGTCTATGCAAGCACGCCATGCAGGCTCCCAAAGACTCCTCCCACCATCTGTAGACAAAAATGTCAGACGCTGGCCACATGCCTGCATGTTTATCTTAACCAACGAAGCCATTCCGAGGCAAGTAAACTAACCAGATGGCCCGATGGCCGAAGTCATACAAGCCTCATCAGGTACTGCTCCTTGTCTGCAACAAAGACCATTTAAAATATTGTTAAGTTAAACTTCATACGACAGACATGATAAATATAGTGTCATCAAATTTTGACACTCACTACAAAATCATTTTATTTTTCTGTGAGCCTCACATCCCCCCACTCTCCATCTATAAAAAGAGGCCGACACAACTATGTCATTAAACTGCCAAGTTCTTTTGAAAGCGTCACACTTGATCTTACACCTCGAAGATATTATTTTCCAGCCCATTCTGTGACCCCTTTGTGTTCCCTAAAGTCCATACCAGTGGACTGGCAATGTCAATGCCTCCCTTGGACCCAACCCCAAAATCAAAAGGAAAAAGCCAGAATTAGATTTACTATAAATCAAACTTCCTTTTCCATGTCGTTTAATCCTTTTCAATCAAAACATGAATAACAATAAACAAATCACAGGACTCACATCAGAGATCCATAAACAAATATCTGCGCTCGCAATTGCACTTGTTGTAAATCCGTAAAAGGCTGTTGAAACAACGCAGACAAAGGAGCTGAAGTGTTCAAATCTGGCAGATTGGATGTAGGAATAGAGACGACGACAGATGGTTTTGCACCACTGCATTCAACATCCCCATAGTGCTTCAACTCTTCAAATTGCACAAACTGGCCCGTCCCAAAGGGGATCATGGGCATACTGCATGACTTATTGCCTCTATCTGTCTGTATCACAAGGGCGATTTCATTTGCAGTGTTTCTCTTTTTTGAGTTGTCTTTTGCAGATGGCTTTCCAGATGCTCGCCTTGTTTTCCGAGCAGAGGTATCTTTGGCACCTCCCCGCACAGTCCCCCTGTCAAAGACTTGAGGGCTTACACGAGAAATTTCATGCACCGTCTTAGGATCTGCTTGCCCGGCACCAGAGGTTAAAGGTGATCCCTCCACAATCTTCAATGAAAATTCATGACCAGAATCATTAGGAAGTATCGGGAATAATACTGATACAAAGTACAATAGCATGAGGTGGCTATTAGAGCACAGCAAAGACTCCACATTAAAACCGTGATATTTTACTAGACTGAAGAGTGGGAAATGATTGTCACACCTTGCAAGTTCCTCCCTGAGAGAGATGCACTGCCGGACTGACTTCAAAAGTAAAGCTCCTTTCTTCTATTGAGGCGTCATTTTCTTTCAGATTCGGGGAAATCGCCTGAGCTTTCTCAGCGACCTCAGAAAGTGAGACATTCCCAGCAACAGCCCCCTTGAGCCCCTCTTGCTCATAGTTTTCACTGTGAGAAAGCCCAGGGCAACTAAAAACAATGGGTGAATCACAACTAGTCTTATCAGATTCTGCAGAAATTCCTCCACCTTCAAGCATGCAATTAGCATCACACTCAGATACGCAGGCAAGATCAGAGGAAGCTTGATGGTCAGCTGAAACATCAGCTGCAAAAACCCAACTAGCAATCATAAAAAACACCAGCAGGAAATAATTGCAAGATGACTGTAAGTTGAGAATCAATGACGCTCTGTAAAAGGATCATGAGCCTTTGGATCAGGGTTATCAACTCCATTTCATCTTGGCTGGTTTTAGCCAAAAATGTCACGTTTTGACAGAACAAAAAAAAAGGTAAACGTACATCAAGTCTTTAAGAAGTAGACCATTCTTATATTGTACTTTTTATTTATTCAGCAATTTGCATTATCGCCAAATTGTAAGTAGTATATGACTAACCAAAAGAAAATTTTAAATCATCTTGGGAAAACTTAACTAAACTTTTCCTACCAACCCTTACTAAGTGTCCATCATCTATGATAAATAAAACCGGACTCAAATAAAAACCATTAGCTAACATCTATAGTTGTCTGCCGCTACTGCCATTGACTCAATCACTCATGAGCTCTCAAACCCAAATCTGGTCCTCATGCTGTGACATTAAAAAACCCCAGGGGAAAGACTCCAGTACTTTTTTGGATAAGTACAAAATCCATTACTCTTATCGCCTCCAACCTTTACTATTAATGAAGGGAGAGAAGGAGGTTTTGCGTCCACTCTCAAAATGTCTATAATACCCTTGATTTCTTTCCAAATAACTACTCATACCTCCCACTTAGCTCTAATCAACCGAATCTCCTCATGAAATATTCATATTACCCCGTCAATTACGGTTCAAAATCTCATATCGAAAAAGTCAAAATAGCTCCATTTCCAATTAGACTGAAACGAATCAGTGATTGAATCCAAATTCAAATGCTTCAAGATATTTCCAAGATGTTTTGACATGTTTCTATCATTGTTTCGAAATGTTTTGTGGTGTTTCACAATATTTCAATATATTTTGACCAATGTCTCAAATTTTTTATTTGTTTCTGAAACGCTTCCCTTCTTAGGTGATCAAAACAATGCACCAAAATGAAGTTTTTATCCTTACCTTCAATTCTTCCCGAATAACCACTCAACTCCCTTTTTAAGGTTTTTAAATTGTATATTTATCTTTCAAAGGGGTAACTGTGTGTGCAGGGTGCAATAATAAAATACCATTTCAGCACATTATTTTGGTCACCTAAGAAACGAAAACATTTCGAAGACATAATATAAATGGATAAAAAAATGAGAATTTATTTCCAAAACATTTCAAAGCATTGGTTTAAATATATCTAAACATTTTGAAACACCTGGAAAGATTCAGAAATATTGGAATATGTTGAAACAACTCGAAACAGTGAAAAACATTCCAAAATACCTCAAAGCACTCAAAATTTTGGAATTTCGATTCAATCACTGATTTGTTTCAGTCACGTTAGAAACGTTTTGGCTATTTCGAAATAATATTTTGATCCTTGACAGGGCGTTTAATGGTTTATTAAGAAGCATTAGTCGTTTGATTATCCAATCAACATACATAACTGAAATATACGTATATAAAAGGGAGATATATTTAAGTTTGCATGAAACCTGCCCAGTATATATAACTGTACTAACTATGAAGAACCTCAAATCCATCATACCCTCCTTAACCACCAACGAGTTGCACCAATATATAACAATATTGTCCACGAAGTATTGCAAGACCAAAAGAAATAAAAAAAGTATGTGGTCATACAATTGGAGAGGGGCAAATGACATCGTGGCACGACTAGGATAACAATCTCTCTAGAGCAGCATATTGAAACAAGATCAAAGTTCCTGATCACAGGTCGTATGATACCCATAAAATACATACTAGGAAAAAATGACCATTCAACAAGAATAAATCACCTGCAACTTTTAAGGTTGCCGCCTCGTGATTTTTTCCTGTCATTTCTTTATGGTTTTCAAGATCTTCTGCTCCAGGATCATCACCCTCTTTTACAACTGGTCCACGGGGAACAGAATACACTTCCACATTCCTAGAGCACTCTTGGACTTCTCTAGCCACCATAGCCTGCTCACCGTGGCTTTCTCTATTACAAGTCTCCAACATTGACATCGACCGATCAAGCGTCTCACTAAGCATTGGCACAGCACTGTCATGAGATGAACCTTTTTCAACTTCAAAAAGAGGACCTTCAGAAATAGAACCTAGCTGACTTTCCACTTGTGAACACTCTTTTAGGGCGGATAAACTTACTTCTGCAGGGATTTCAACTTCCAATTCTTCCTTTTTACCCATGTGTGTGTGCTCTACAACAAGAGCAGGTGCCTTCTGCTCATTGTAATCAATTATTTTTTCAGCACTAGTACCATTACCAGAAAGTAGAGGAGCACCATCCAATATATCGTGGGAAACTAAGTTAGTGTCTTCCAATGCTGCAAAGCAGAATGAAAGAAGGTGAATAAAAAATAGATACACTTGTGAATCATTATTTAAACATCCAAAATTAATAACTTCATGATTTACCGGGTTTATTCCCGACGTATTATCAAATTCTGATCCACTAGCAATTACAACATTTCCAACAATCTCGCATTCCACATAACTGGTTTCAGTAGGCAACTTTGCATTCCTCTTCTCAGGAGAAAGGGTGTCTCTGTCCTTGTTACTAGCCTCATCCTGCTCAGAGAAAGTACTCTCTCTGCACATCTGCATGGATCCAGCAACAACAGGTGGCAAGGCAGAATCTAGAGAATTCGGGTCCTTTTGGTGGTCTCCAGCAGCATCAACGCCTCCTTCTAAATTTACAACTCCAGATTTTCCCTTCAGCAATTCCCCTGAGGAGCAACCGACCACGAAACTAGCAAGATGACCCAACTGACTAATGTTGCTACCCGGTCTAAAAGGTTCATTCTCCGCCTCAGGCAACATAGCTGCCTCAGTACCACTAAATGAAGCTCCTCTATCCATCTGGCTATCACTTCCAAGAAGATTCTTCTTTTTCTCAAATGGCCTGCTGTGTCCATGCATTATGTCCACAGCCGAACCCATCATCAACCCATCTCCTTGGCGACACTACAGAGGATTCCCCATGAACATTGCTTTTGAACTGCCGACTACTTTCCTTGCCATCAGAGAGAAAAAATATTTCATGTCTACTGCCCTCAACAGAGCCTTTGGAAAATACAGCCTCATTGCAATCTTCAGCTGTCTTGATGTCATCACGCCACTCTCGTACCATAGAAGGTTCATCCAAGTTAGTGATACTAGTTTCGACTGCATGTTCTTCTACAGATAGCACCTTCAAAGCAACACAGGTAGGACCATTCAAGTTGTCTGGACAAGATCCAACAGCAGGTCCTCCCAAAATTTGATCATCCATATTGACTGCTTTGCTAGGAACACAGTCTTCCTCCACTCCCTCATCAGTCTCCTTTGAAAAATCTATTGTGTTTACCAAAATAGAATCACTTACCTGATGTGGGATTTCCTGATTGCTCAACTTCACGGTGATTGCAACAACATTCTCTGACGAGGAGTCCCCGTTAGTTGTTTGCATCCCAGAATCCTCTTGCGTTATAGTATCAATTTTGTTTTGCATTGCATCGTCACAATTCCTATCAATTCCCAAATTCTCGTGAGTCACAAATAAACCACCCTTCTCCCTAACAGTGTTTGGATCCAAATCACTCGAAATTCCATAAGCAGACAGCTCAGCCTCTTGAGTCTGTGAAGTACATTTAACAACTGGCCCCTTGTATCCAGCACTCTCATTCACTCCAGAAAAGTTTTCCACAAACTCATCTGGTGGCACTGCAGGGTGTGGATCTGTAACATCTTCCATTTCATCATCAAGCTTCAAATTCGGCTCCATTTGCTTGGTTACGCTACCCAGTTTATCGCCTGCATCTGATTCCTCAATTGCAGTTTCTCCAGGTGCCACCTCTTCCTGCCCAACAGATTTTAACAACATTTCAACAGATTCTAATGATGTTGCCTCAGACCACACATTCTTACGCCTGGAAATGGAGCAAGATTCGGCAGCGCTTGAACCGAACTCTATTCCACTACTGCCCCGAGAAAAATCCTCAATCCACTGATTGTCTTCTTGGCCCGGAATACCAAGAAAAACCTCGTTTTCAACCAAACTGTCAAACCTTAGGTGCCCCTGGAGGCTGTCATCAAAATCAAACTTGGGAAGGGAGTATGGACGCAAAACAGGAGAAAATTTTGAGCTCCCTTCACCAGCTAAGTGAAGATTCTGGCCTTGACAATCATTGTCATCATAATCCATCGGCGTATCCCTAAAGTGGGGGGAAAAAAGCTAGAAGGTAAAGGTGGGGAAAAAAAAGAAAAGGAACCCTGCACAGATAGTACACAGACTTTTTCCATTTTTTTATTCAAGTGTACAGTTATTATATTAGAACCACTGACAACAAAATTTAGTAAAATTTTACACATAAAGTGTACAAACTTCTATAAACACACATTAAAAGAAAACAGAATATAGCATGTGCATTAAAACTAAAACCATCAAACTCGGGGTGACTACTTGCTTCTTAGTTATTCAAATATTTGCCTTGAAGATCCTACCCCAATACTATGTGTGCATTATAATAAGTGAATATAAATGCAGATAGCATTTTTAGTAACTGTCATTGTTGGATCATCGAGCATTTTGTTGGGCCATAAGCGAACCCTAATCCATATTGCATAACTGAAGGAAGTTCAAGTGATTCACCACCCCCATGCAAAAACCCTTTAAAGTGTTTCAGAAGGCTATATGTTTGAGCTTTTCAACTCTGCAATGATCCATACGGAGGACAGTGGAGCAGCTATTGAATATTCGGCCCACCTGCCTGTAAGAGGATGTGTTTCAAAGTTTGCTCATTCAGGTTGGGAAGTTCAAAGAAAAGATATTGCCCAAGCAAATTGAAATTGGGTTTCGGTACAAATTCCCTGTCTAAACCACTCGCATGCAACCACTTCCAAAAAATGAGCAAGGAAACAAAATCAAAGAAGGCTGCCACCAATCCCCAGTCACTGGTTGTCCTCCGTCATGGGCACAACATTTTCTCTAAGCTTCATTTGGATTTATTTATGATTCTCTACAATAAACTACCAGTTTCATCATCGATATGATTGATTTCATTAGTAGTCAGTCAAAAATGCCTCTTAGCAAAAGCAGATTCCATTATAACGGTCGGCCAATCCAGTGTAATGAAAAGCTCGCCTAGGCGAGAACGAAGCAAGGCGAGGCAGTCTCGCCTTGAACAACGAAGGCGAAGTGAACATGACTGAATCGATAAAAAGCGAAAAAAGCGGGTGACTCTAGCTTAAGCAAAAGGCGAGAAAAGCGACACTTTTGTTAAATTTTTTAAGTTGTTTTATTTTTTTAACTATGGACTGTTGGATTGTTTTATTTTTATTATGGACCATTGGATTGAGGCAATTGTAACAAATTGTGAGAAGTCCATACACTCAATTGCCCCCTTATCCCAATAATATATATGACACCCAAACCCTAATTTTGCCTAAAGGGTCAGACGATTACTGCTGCTACTCCTTCCTTGCTAGTCCACAGGTTTGCCCCCTCCTCTTTCGCTCTCTTCTCCTCTTTTCTGTTTCTCTTCTTCTCACTTTTGTTTCTCGTCTTCTTCTCTATTTCTTTTCTTCTTCTTTTAATTCTTCTCCTTCTTCTAGCTCTACAGCTTTGCATCTACTGCTTCTGTCTTCTTTTTCAACAGAAAACACCACACACAGGTACCTGTTTTTTCTCTATTTCTCTCCTCCTATTCTCTTCTTCTACTTTTTTAATTCTTATTTTTCTTCTTCTTCGACAGAAAAATACAGTACCCACTGCTTCTCTTCTATATCTCTATTTTTTCTCTATTTTTCCTGCTGCGTCTACTTCGACAATATAGGTATGTTCTCTTCTCTCCTCTCCTCTTCTCTTCTTCTGGTTCTGCTTTCTTCTCCTCTTTTACTTCTGGTTCTGGTTCTTTTTCTCTACTCCTCCTTCTTTTTCTCTTGTTTTGCTTCTGGTTCGGCTTCTATTTCTCTTCTTCTGATTCTTCTTCACTTTTTCTGTTTCTTCTTCTATTTTTCTGCTTCTTCTCTTCTTTTGATTATGATTATATTTCTCTCTGCTTTTTGCTGATTTTTTGTAATGTTTTTGCTTATTTTCTATTCTACTTATTTCTGCTGATTATGTACAGCTGATTTTGTGTAACTTATTTCTGCTGATTCTGATTTTTTATAATACTGATTTTGCTGATAGTAGTACTAGTTTTCTGTAATCCTAAATACTAATTTTCTGTAATGCTGAATGCTAATTTTTTGTAATGCTGATTTTTATGTAATGCATTTGAACTTGATGATTTATAAAATTAGAATTTAGATATTTAGAAGTAATTAAACTAAAATATTTACTTCTTTTTTAACTGTTCGTTTCTCTTATCGCTTCTCGCCTAGACTTTAGGAGCCTTGGTCGCTTTGATTCGCTTTACGCCTTAAATAACATTAGGCCAATTTGCCTTTGCTTCATCTGCCACACTATCCGCTACGTAATATTTTATTGACTTTGCATTCAATATCAGGACCATTATAAGTTATTAAAAAACTTGTAAGGTAGCAAACTGAACTAGCTAATGACAACTTGACCTTGTTAATGAGAATGGTGGATGATACGATTTTCCCCTGGGATCCATGTGATAAAACCCCTTTTGTTCCCCTCTCCCTCCCTCCCAACACCTTCCCATGCCCAAACAGATATAGTCAAGCTGGTCGATACTTCAACTAAATGAACCAAAAGAGGAAAGGGAAAAGACCTAGTACACTGAATTCAAGTCACACCGTGAGGGAGAGTCTCGTATCCACCAGAATGAGGACAGAAAATGAAAATCGCATCTCGCCCCTCAAAAATCCCTCATGCCACCCTGCTATTCTCCTCGGCTTTGCACTGTACAAACTGAAAGAGAATTTCCCTTCCTACGTAGGACTGAAGGGGTCAGTGCGGAAGGCACATTTTCTAAACTTCCTCATAGCCTCTCCAACTAAATCCATAGGAAAGGCAGAGAACAAATTTGATTTTTACGGGTACTGCCAGATGTCATTATCATAAGCATGTGACAACTTCAAAGAAAATTTTAAAGACAGAATTCAACACATAAAAATACGCACAGGCTGCAGAGATTTCAAATAAGGTTCCAACTTTCCGTAAGATTTTTTTACAGCTTGGGCCTGAAAATAGAATAGCTTGTACATGATTAAACAACCATATGAGATGTAGATAACAGACAAAAGGAATAAAAATCAACAACAACCATTACAAGTAAGGTTCTAAAAACACTGTAAATAACATTATTAGGAACTCAACTCGACAGTAAAGTAATTACTTCAAACACTCTACAGACCAACAAAATGGAAGAACGAAAGAACCGCAGGCACATCATTCACATTAAACTAAGACTCCAGTGTGCTTCAACTTCCAACTATGGGCAATATTAAATTCTCCGAAAACCCTATTAAACCAATCAATAAAACATAAACCCTTAGTATCCACTCAATCCTTAAATAAAACAGTTAGCAAATTATACTTGCCATTTCAACAAAAGTCAAAAACAATCCCTAAACTCCAACTGTGATTAACACTCGTTTATCACGAAACACTCATAAATAACGACTTAATCGAAAGAGGAAACGAACAGTTACCAGAAGAAGTAAGTCTAGAGACGCTACCTCCCTCCATCCGGAGACGAAATCCGAACCGTTGATCCCTCAACTCAATCCCAATCGTACGGTCACTTCCTGCTTCATAACCCTAGGATCTTGAGAAATCATCTCAATTCTCACCCAAACCCTGTTCCACAGAGCGAAACCACACCGTTGTAGAAATAACTACACTTGAACCTGAAATTACCGGTGGATCGGAACGAGTTTTCCGGCCAAGCGAAGAGAGAGAAAAAGGGGGGGTGCGTGTTCAGTGTATCGAGACACTTGGAAGCTGGGAAGAGGGGGAGATGTGATGGCGACGGAGTTTGAAAAAAGGCCAGGGTACTTTCGGGAAACCAATCGACTGGCAATAAACTGAAGGAAATGTGCCAACGTGGCAGCTCTTAATTGGTTAAGAAGAACCATGAGCTGTAATTGTTAGGGATGACTATAAGCCTATAGGGTTTGTTGTTCCGAGGTTTAAACATTTGTCATATCAACACTTTAAAATAGAATGGCTCAATCCATATGATAAGAACGTTGGAATCACTTCAATTTTTCGCGCAGAGATCATTTTAAGATTATTTATTTGACAATCTTAATTAATCATAAATTTAATTGTTTTAGGAAGATTTTTAGTCTTTTTATAACTTTAAGACTCTGATCTCTTATATTTCTCTCTATATCCATAATAAGGGACAAAAAAATTTAAATCCTTAATTTTATCTTGAATTTTTTGGGGTTCAAATCATTTCTAAATTATTAAAATATTATCCAAAGGTACCTGAATTACAACCCCTGATCCCTAATTATCACCCAGTTAACCAACCTCCTCTTTCTCTAATCTATTCCCTAATTATCGCTCAGTATTCTCACATTTCTCTCTTACTGTTAACGCCACACACATAATACACACCAAAAACTCTAAACAACAGTGTTATCAGAACTGGACTCGTTGGTCGGATCAGTTCAACTATGACCCAGGACCTTAAGTAATTTGGTTCTCTAATTAGATTGCATAAGGAAACGAACCACCAAAAAACCTCTAAATCGATTGATTTTTAGTCAAAACCATGAACCAGACAGTTTTTAAAAATTGAACAGTTGGAAGTCCACATTTAATATAAACAAAAACGTCCTCTCTTTTTTTGGATCATTTTGATTTTCTCCTAAATCGCAAAAAATATAACTCTTTGTGCCTAAGGCGAATGCACTCTCTAAGGCTGAGACTTCACAATTGACTTCGGCAACCACTCACACGATATCTTCGACGACGAATAGTAACTAAGGAAGGCGTTATGACTTAGTAAGACGATCTCTCTCACTCAGGCAACCACTCGGGCAATTTTATCGGCGAGGAACAGAAACCCATGGAAGTTAGGAGTGTTCAAATTTTCGATTACTCACGAATTTTGCCCCCTATCCTACCCTACCCGACTATATTGATCGGCTATCTAAAAGAATCAGATAGACCAACAAAATATTTTTTGGTATTCTACAAAAAAATGAGTAGGAATATGAAACACCTACAAAAAATTGGCTAGGAATGTTAATCCCTAAAAATTAAAATCTAAAAATCTAGAAACTCTAATATTTTTTTTAATGTTTATAACTTTTTTATATATGATGTATTGATGTTTATGATTTTCTTGTTTTATTTTATTATAATTATTTATGTA